GAGGTCATACTGCCTCCATCATCAGAGTATGAAGATTTCTGTCGTCTGGGTTGTTGCGCTGTGTAGTCTGGTAGAAGTTAACCGACGTTTCAGAGGTCATACTGCCTCCGTCATCAGGGCGATTACTTATCGCCTTGAAAACCTCAAATTTTACACAGAATACAGCGAACCGAATCCACGTGGTTTGTTCTGTAAAGATAATAAGCTGCTAGAATACAGAAACAGGATGCTTTATCGCAGATATTTTGTCATTTAGTATTTCGCTGTCTAAAGTTTCGACTAACATTTCGGTTGCCATCTTCAGGGTGAAAATGTTGGACTTATTTCAGAAGCTTTGTGTAGGGCGCACTAAAGGCGGAGAATGTGATATGGCGGGTGAGCAATCCTGTACAATCTTTTGTTGATTTTTTTAAATATGTAGTGTAGCATCACGGCGTGTTTTATTGGGCTTGGTTTTTTCTGTACGTCATTTTTCACACTGTCGGTTCAGTAATAGAACTTCTGATTTTGTGGCGTGAAGTATGTTTGTCAGAAATAGAATTTGTGAAATAACATTTTTGTTCTTATACTGAGCAGTGGAAACAGCTCTGATTCTGTTCAGCTTCGTACCTGTATAGACTTAAACTCTAATACCTTCATAAAATACATAATTCTGTACCGTGTGATGTCCCTTCTGTTTGTTAGCTCGTCAAAAATGGATATATATCTCAGAATTCAGTTTAGGATGCAAACAGTAAGCCTAACTCCAAATTGGAGTTTTGTCATTGAGGTATCAAGAATGTCTTTATAACTTTTGTTTCATATTAAATCGCCACTGACGTATTCAAATGTCTCTCACTTGCAGTTCTTCAGATGTGACCTTGATTCTACGTGACCCCGGCAAGTCTGAATATCTGGGACAGATTCTTCTTACAGCCACCCTCTGGCCTCGCACTCAGGAAGACAAAGACCTGGTAAGTGACGTTTCCACACTACAGCCGTCAGCGGTCCTTGCGGACGCTTTGTAAACTGATTCATGTAGTTCTATTTTCTAGCCTGTGAGGGCACTGGAGTCTCTGGCTTGTAAACGGAATTGTGAGGTTATATAACACTGCTTCCCAAACTTTTTCCTTCATTACCCAAAGTCCATTTCACCCAATGTAGGCAAATTATATTATTTTAAATAAACTAAAAATAATATAATGAAGATTACCTTTCCCAATTGTGTACGGTACGATTTGTAAATACAGCCAGCGCGATACATACCTCACACTGCACGTAAAGTTTAGAATAGACTCACAAACTTTAGTTTAGGGGTGGACGTATTTTTTCAATTCTCCACGTGCATGCGAGCATGACAGAAATGATTAAATCTAATAACAAGCGTATGACGTATTAATTAAATAGCAAATAAATACTTGTTAGACTGTTTTAGAGTATCGACGTACAATTACTGAGTACTTCTACACTTTTACGGTAAATTTTAATGTGTATTCCGAGGTGTGTCGTTACCCAAAGAAAAACCACTTTTACCCCTTTTTAGGTAATTTACCAAGGTTTGGGAAGCACTGTTATATAACAACATGCTGTGTCCAATGAATGACTGTTTCTCGTCTCATAAACCATTCGCTTTCTTTGGGATATAACGTGATACCACACAGTTTTTGATGCATGGAGTTTGTTACTTTGAGAATAAATCAATATCAACCAATTCCGGACATCAAAACGTTCCATTGGTATTAGATTTATAAGATAAAGTGAATAATTTCGTTAGGAAAGTTTATTTTCTACTATAA